TCCCTCCAATCCATTTATGTCTTTTTAAAGCTTTATTAGAGAACTTGGAACTGGGGGGTGAAATACCTAAAAGGTTACAACATGTTTATCAGACTAACGGTGATTGGATGAAACTAAAACTTCCCATAGTAGGCAAAAATATCATTCAATACAACATAGGTTCCTTTGGTTTTTTTTTACCAGTTAGTTGACTGGAGCATCAAACCAATTCCCATGTATACTCCATTGTCTAATCATGTTAGGATACCAAGTACTGATATCCAACAGAAGCAGGAGTGACCAGATCTGTATAGCTGTACAAAGGAGACTGCATCCAAACTAAGTGTAATTATGTTAAGATTTATTAATAACAAGTACAAGGCATATGGAATCAGGGAAAAGGGTACAGAAAAACAAAAGCCAGCATCAGATGGGACAAACTGCTGAGATTTGCTGGTTACTGGGAGACACCCACTAGGGGACTACATCCTTCAGATCTATCAATCACAGTGCCACCAGCAGGTGATCCAGTTCCTGACACAACAGAAACAGTGTGGGTTCGATCTTCTCAGGTAAAACAGCACATTTCAGCCCCAGAGGGCCAGCATCCTCAGGGCCTGGGCTCCATTCCAGAACTTCAAACTCAGGCAAGAGCCCGCAGACAAAACAAAAGGCACCATATTTGTTAAAGAGAGAAATTTTAGGTCTTCCATACTTTACCTCTATCTAAAGCTTATGTTTAACCAGTCTGTTTTTCATGAACAGTTTGTGCCCTTGGTATAGCCGACAGCCCAGATCAGTGTATTCTGACAGCACAGAAGGCTCTCTGCTTTCAGAATACAACAACTCAGCAGGAGTGAATCCCTTATCTAGACTGAATGTGTGGATGGTAGAAGTGGGTCATTGTTTTTTTTCATTCAACCCGCTGGTTGAATGAAAAAAATATATATATGTATTGTATGGCCTGTCTTTGGTTTCATGACTTCCATGTGAAATCATTGCTTGTAGCAGTGACAGGGAGCTGTTTGTTTATGATTTATGTGCCAACTAAACAGGAGAAGATGGTTGAACTACAGTTATTCTTATTTTATACTGGCAGTAGAAACAGTTGATGAACTTTTGAATTAAAATTCTTAGATATAACAATTAAATGTTTAGATGTTTCTTCTGTTTACACAAATAGTCAGTGGCCATATTTTATATGTTATCTGTCTTCAGTAAAATTAAATCTGTTGCACTTGGTACAAATTTGTACATTATCATTGCTTATTGCCTGTCCTTCTGAATAAAGCTTGCAAATGGATGCATATAAAGCCTGTAATTTTTAAATCTGAATGACCACTGAGCTGAAATAATGCCAAAGGATTTGTTTCTTATACAGCATTAAACATTCCACAGAGCTAAAGCAGCACTCTCCAGTTTGCCAAGATTCATACTTGTGCTTTTAGGTAAATTTTGATCCATTGGAATTAGATCTGTCAGGTCACATATTCTCCTATTTCAGTATATGCAGTAGACTTGAGTACAAAGGATTTTGTTCATGTCAGAACCTCTTTACTCTCTGTGCAAGTCAATGGAAATGAAAAAGAAGCATTATACAACTTACTGTAAAATGTATCACTAGACAAAATATTTTTTGGGATAGTGTGGTTAAAAATTTGACCCTCTGCCGAGTTTCTATTGCTGTCTGTGAGTAATATTAACCCTTCTATTTTAAATGGTGAATATTGTCACAGTAGAAAGAAAGTGAAAGGAAAATCAAAGTTTTAGAGTCGTCGTCCCCTTAACAAGAGGTAAGGGAAATTTTCTAATGTGGACATTTGTTTCAGGGACAACTCTTTAAGAGGGGAATCTCCTTCACTTTGAGAGAGTTCCTGTAATTTTCTGTTGGGTCTCTAGATCAAGAAGTGAAGGGAGATTTCCCAAATGGTACACAGACACCACAAACTAAACTGGCAAAATGAACCCCACCCTACTCTACCCAAAACTAAAAAAAAGTTTGGACTATATGCAGCACCCACCTAGTGTGGGATGCTAGGCAAGTTTTTGTCTCTTTCTGTAGTCAAGGGAGTAGTGATTGTTTGTTCTGGTCTGTTCAGGGTTTCACCGGCTCAGAGTTTGACTGCCTCCTATTGCTTCTGGAAGAAGTTTCCACAATATGGGCAAATGACCAGCCTGAATATTTATCATGCCCTAGCCAATCCCTGGAGAAAAGTGACCAGAAGGTATCTGGGGGAAGGGGGGAGGGTGATAAATGATCCAAAGCCCTTTCGAGATTGTTCTTTCCTTGGCAGGGAAGGTTCTGAAGCCTCTGGGGCTGTTGCCCCCTGAGGCAGCTTGTGGACTGTGTACCTATTCTTCAAGGACTCAGCTGAGGCAGACCTGAGAGCATTGAATGATTTTCTGAGGAGCTGGCTGTGGGACTTCATTAGAAGAGATCTGGAGAAAGATTGTCTCCCTGACTAGACCGTGCCGGAAGCAGCCCAGAGGAAGCAGCAGAAGGGGTGCAGCTGTCCTGGGGACTTGTGAGTACTGAACCTGAATTATGATCACTGGTGTCTGTGTGTATTTGGGATGTAAGTGCCAGAGGTAGCTATTGACTGAGACAGCTCTCATATGGTCTCAGAATACTGGCTGTTCCCCCATCCTCAGCAGAATTCTGAAGTGGGAGAGAAGAGTGTCCTCCTACTACTGAGCAGTAATGTGGAGTATACCACACCCTGACCCCTTGTCTGTTTAAAGTTCCTCATGAAATACATTTGAAAAAGACATCCCCTAGACTGAGTTATTGGAGCTGAAGTGGTGCTTGAGGGGACGAACATTCGGACCTAATGAATGTTCAACTTCGAACTTAATGCAAGTCTATGGTACTCGAACTTGTAAACTCAAAAGTGCCCATTTTGAAGGCTTACTGTATATGCAAGTTATTGGCCATAAATAGTGTATGGGGACTCGGGAACTGCCCTGATGGTCATGAATCAGTGAAAAAAAAAATACACAGAGTACCGTTTTTTATAGTTTATCCCGAGCTACACTCGGTAATACTGCCAGGGACGTTAAAGTTAAAAGTAAAAAAAAAGAAAAATTCCTTTAAATATCATGCCTGGGGGGTCCCCTAAACTACCTGCAAAGTTGCATATCAATGTATATAACCTGCGTACAATGTATATAACCTGCTGCAGCAGGACTGACATTTATTTTTTAAAATGAAATTTAAAAAAGAAAAAAAACAGCATAGGGTCCCCCCAATCCTTACCAGATCCTTTAGGTCTGGTAGGAAGGTTAGTAGGGACCCCACAGTAAAATATTTTTTTTTAAAGTGCATGAGTTTCCCCCTAAAAGCCATATTAGGCGAAAGTGAGAGTCCAGTTCATTGTGATGCCGATGTTCGACTCGAACATCAAGGATATCACTACTCTATACTGGGAAGAATCAGCTACAGTATTACCAGTGGCCCCTACAGAGGTAGTGCTACATAAACAGTACATACATTTTAATGTGGCTTAAAAGGAGGCAAAATGCAGATCAAAAGGAGGGCCACAATGGCAGTGTACTCAGATGGGAATCATCTCAATCTGATCTCAAATAAAAGCTGAATGCATCTAAAACAAAAAAAGTTTACTTTAGGAAATTTAATTTGCATTTTGCTATTATCTTTAAATATTTCAGGTATATAGAAAAGGAAAAAGAAGTGTTTCAGAGATTGATGATTTTTAGCAATCCAGGTTGCATCATGATTCACAGCAATTCGCCCACTGGTTACTATAATAATCTAGTCGTAGGAATGAACAAACTTTTAAAAACTTGGAAAAGCTTGTCAATAAGGGCAAATCTAGTCAAAATGCATCTGACTACTCTGATTTGCTGGTTTAATTGCACAAAATATTTCACAAGCAAAATTAGTACACAAGGGCTTTCAAATGTTATTTGACCCTTCTTGTTTGCTAAATATTCCAGAGGACGGCAATATTATTTAAATTTGATCTCCAGACAGGGTACCCTAAGCTCTTCCTCCTAGTCATTTGCATTTTGTGTGCTCAGACTCCAGATATAACAGCAAGCAGCCCTTTACACTACCCTGGCAAGGATGGGATGTCTGCAGTGTTGTTGCTACACCTTGGCACCCAGGGCCCGAGCTCCAAGTTTTCTTCTGAGTGCCCTGGGTCTCCTTTGAGGTATGGAAATCATACATTCTATGCATTATACAATTTTGGAACATCATGCAATTCATCTACTTTTAAGTTCATCTATTATTATTTTTTTTATTTCTAATCAATATATACACACTATAACACTATATTGCCAAAAGTATTGGGACGCCTGCCTTTACACATGCAAGTACTTTAATGGCATCCCAGTCTTAGTCCGTAGGGTTCAATATTGAGTTGGCCCACCCTTTGCAGCTATAACAGCTTCAACTCTTCTGGGAAGACTGTTCACAAGGTTTAGGAGTGTGTCTATGGAAATGTTTGACCATTCTTGCAGAAGCACATTTGTGAGGTCAGGCACTGATGTCGGATGAGAAGGCCTGGCTCGCAGTCTCCACTCTAATTCATCCCAAAGGTGTTCTGTTGGGTTAAGGTGCAGACCAGTCAAGTTCCTCTACCCCTAACTCGCTCATCCATGTCTTTATGGACCTTGCTTTGTGCACTGGTGGGTAGTCATGTTGGAACTGGAAGGAGCCATCCCCAAACTGTTCCCACAAAGTTGTGAACATAAAATTTCTTGGTAAGCTGACCCCTTAAGAGTTCCCTTCACTGGAACTAAGGGGCCAAGCCCAACCCCTGAAAAACAACCCCACACCATAATCCCCCTACGTCAAACTTAACACTTGGCACAATGCAGTCAGGCAAGTACCGTTCTCCTGGCAACTGTCAAATCCAGACACGTCCATTGGATTGCCAGACAGAGAAGCATGATTTGGCATTCCAGAGAACACGTCTCTACTGCTCTAGAGTCCAGTGGCAGCATGCTTTACACCACTGCATCCAACACTTTGCATTGCACTTGGTGATGTAAAACTTGGATGCAGCAGCTTGGCTATGGAAACCCATTCCATGAAGCTCTCTACGCACTTTTGTTGTGCTAATCTGAAGGCCACATGAAGTTTGGAGGTCTTTAGCCATTGACTCTGCAGACAATTGGCGACTTCTGCGCACTGTAAGCTTCAGCATGCGCTGACCCCACTCTGTCATTTTTGTGGCCTGCTGATGCTGTTGTTCCCAGTTGCATCAACTCTGTTATAATACCACTAACAGTTGACTGTGGAATATTTAGTAGCAAGGAAATTTCACTGATGGACTTATTGAACAGGTGGCAACCTATCACGGTGCTACGCTTGAATTTACTGAGCTCCTGAGAGTGACCCATTCTTTCATAAATGTCTGTAGAAGCAGTCTGCATGTGCATAGTTGCTTGATTTTATACACCTGTGGCCATGGAGGTGATTGGAACACTTTAATCCAATGATTTGGATGGTTATCCCAATACTTTTGGCAATATCATATATATATATATATATATATATATATATATATTTTATATTTTTTTCAATAATGTCATCATAATGTGACATTACAGTTTTTTAGACCAATTAATTTTTGACTCAGGTAAAATATTACATTCATCTTGGATTTGATTCATCATGGTATCCAGGCCCTCAGCATCTTAATCTGTGTGCTCAGAGGTGCCCCTGGCAGTTTGCGTCCCTGCATCCCTGCAGTACTTGAAATGTTGTACATGCACAAGATCTGGCTATAAAAGATCCCCATGTGCAGTGACCTATGGGGATTGTGTAAAAGTAAATAAAAGGTAGTGGGGAAAGCAGACTTAGTTTTCTCGCTGTTATTATCTCTGTTATTGTAACTATTGTCACCATTATTGTCATTGCTGCATATTGTCAATATTACCTGTTTTTTTTGCTTTCTGTTGTCATAATCTATTTGTTGCCTGTATATTGTCACGATTACCCTTTTGTTGCCTGTGTAATGCAATAATTGCATGTATACTAGCAATTGTTTGTTTGTAGTTTGTAGTATGTGTGAGGAATATTGAATACCTATTAAACACCTGTGCTCAGTGACTACAATTATTAATTATTAATTAAATACCTAAAAAAAGTTAGCTGCTGTGTGTAACACTACTGTGTGCTTACTTAAAATGTTGTCCTTAATCACAGCGCTTTAATACCAACAACCAACAATTGTGCAAAATTCTAAATAATTAAATTATTATTATATTAATATATAATTAAATTATTAATATATAATATCCCATGTAGTGCAACTTTAAATAAAAGCGTCCTTTATCTGATATCTTTTATTTCGGAAATATAGTTCAGAAAGTGCTCCGTGCAGACTTTACAATACCAAATACTGTTAATCTAAACGTGTCCTTCCAAAATGCTTCAGCAGTGAGCCACCACCACATGCGAAACTCACCAGACAGAATTGACCCCCTGCTAGAGAGGTCAATCAGCACTTTCCCCCAAAGGGTTAATCTTCCAAGGCACTACCACTCCTCCCTCTCACCACAATCAGTGATTTCATATAACAGGGGAGATAAAGGGTTCCAATAGTGTAAAAAACCTTTTTTATTATTTAGACGACTGACATATACAACTTAAGATCCATAATCTATTATGCTCACATTTGGCTGTGCATTCCGCCCTGTACCTGGGTTATCATACAACGCTGGCTTCACTATAACAAGCTCAAGCCCTGTTGGTGCCTCTGATTACTCGGATCTCTCACCACAGTGGGGTGTCTCCAACAGATCAACGTTCCTTCCTGTAACCCAGCCTCGACATACGTTTCACCATGACGTCGTACTGATGTGATATTGCCTCCTTATGACATATTGCACAAGATAAAGGATAGCTGGAAGAATGGTATTAATTAATAGACTCTTTTATTTAAATTTGCACTAAATGGTATATTAATAATTTAGCATTTTGCACAGTTGTTGGTTGTTGGTTTAAAGCGTTGTGATGGTGAGGAATATCCTTTTTCCTCAATATTGTCAGATTCAGAACTGTTTCTTTAGAGGATCATACTACGCTGTACTATAATTTAATCTCTGTTGATTGCTCCATTATTAAACCGTTGCTTCAATTATCGCTTGTGCTATTATCCTCCCCTATGGCCAAAGTGGGTGCAGAAAACTGCAGATGCAGCAATGAGATGCAACAAGGTTGACAAAAAATACTAAAAAGTGTCACATTTATATAAAATAGCATTAGTGCTTTAGAAAACTAAATGTCATTCAGTTAGGGTTTAAATTTACAAATTTTCAAAAACAATCAGACTACTGTACTAGCATTTTCAGGAAGGTGGGGGGGACATCATCAATGCAGCTCCTTTATATCTCTCAGCACATATTTTTTTATAGCCAGCATACTATCTATCCAGTGATCAAAATCAGTTTGAAAGGAAAGATATTTTGCTACATTATCCCATGGAAGTAATGTAATGTGGTTACAATGGTAAATGGAAAATAATTCCTCACATGGAGAACAGTATTTGCATGTCGGGAATGTGGTGCTTTGACATCGCATTCCATAAGAAATAGAAACCAAAATCTCAAGGCAATTACACCACTTAAGTACAACTGACAAGCTGCCTGATGCCTATGTAATGCAAAATGCTGCTGTGAAATATTTGTGTGCAAACTACAATATCAAGTAAATACATCTTATTTAAAATAAAACATATAAGTTTAGAAAAACTATGCATGCCTTAATTATACAATGACAGTCACCGAGTCTTAATATAAGACCCCTGCTATAGAAGAGGTGTCATATTTACAGTCATGGCAAAAAATATTGGCACCCCGGTATTTCTGTTAGATAGTGCACCACTTTGGCCAGAAAATTGTTCCAATGTTTAGGCATTCTCATGTTTATACCTTTTGTTTGCATTAATATGACACAAAAACGTGTAGAAACAAAAAGCCAAATCTGACACATCCCACGCAAAACCCCAAATTGGTCTGGATAAAATTATTGGCACTTTCTCAAAATTGTAAGAAATAATTGCATTCCCAGTTTGTGATGCTCCTGTTTTTGTAATTAAACTCACCTGTATCATTTAAGATGTTAATATGACTGTGTCCACTGTGCACAACATTATCAAGAAGTTTACAGTCCATGGCACTTTAGTTAATCTCCCTGGACGTTGACGAAAGAGAAAAACTTGATCAAAGATTGCAATGAAGGATTGTTTGAATGGTGGATAAAGAACCTCGATCAACTTCCAGACAAATTCAAGCTGACCTTCAGGCACAGGGCACAACCTTCAGGCACAGGGCACAAGTGGGTGAGCTTGCACTATATGTTGCCATCCTAATGAAAAGAGACATTATTGTAGGAGACCCAGGAGGACCCCCACTGCTGACACAGAAATATAAAACTAGACTGGAGTTTGCGAAAACTTACCTGAGGAGAATGTGCTGTGGACAGATGAAACAAAATTACAGCTTTTTGGTAAAGCCCATTATTCTACTGTGTTCAGAAAACGAGAGGCCTTTAAAGAAAAGAATACAGTCCCTACAGTCAAACATAGTAGAGGTTCACTGATGTTTTGGGGTTGTTTTGCTGCTTCAGGCACTGGATGTCTTGACCGTGTGCATGGCATTATGAAATCAGAAGACTGTAAAAGAATTCTGAGGTGCAATGTAGGGCCCAGTGTCAGAAAGTTGGGTCTCCCTCAGAGGTCATGGGTCCCTCAGCAGAACAATGACCCAAAGGACACATCAAAAAAAACACCAAAAAATGGTTTCATACAAAGTACTGGAAAGTACTGAATTAGCCAGCAATGAGTCCAGATCTCGGTCCCATAGAGCATCTGTGTAGAGATCTCAAAACAGCAGTTGGGAAAAGGAACCCTTCCAACCCGAGAGACCTGGAGCGGTTGGCGAAAGAAGAGTGGTCCAAAATTCCAGTAGAGAGGTGTAAGAAACTCATTGATGGTTACAAGAAGCAATTGATTTCAGTTATTTTTTTCCAGGGAGTGTGCTACTTAATATTAAATTGAGAGTGCCAATAATTTTGTCCAGTCCATTTTTGGGGGGTTTGTGTGGAATGTGTCAGATTTGGCTTTTTGTTTCCCCACTTTTTTTGTGTCATACCAATCCAAACAAAAGAAATAAATATGAGAATACCTAATCATTTGTAATTGCAACAATTTTCTGGGCAAAGTGGTGCATTATCTGAGAGAAATTCTGGACCTCCAAAATATTTTGCCATGACTGTACCTTACCTTTCTTGGAACCATTCAAGCAATGTGGCACTTCAGCTTATGCCATGTCTGTGTTCCCTGCTGTGTGCTGCAGTTCCATTCTCTGACCCCTACATCATTACAGAAAATCATGTAGTTCAGCACACTCCGTACAGTGAATAAGACCCAGTGGGTGCTTGCAACATGGGGTTGTTTTCTGCACAACAGTTAACCCCTTGGGATACAGATCACCTGTCCTCTGCTGATCAGGACAGTTTGAGACTTGTCACCTTAACACTGGACTGCCATTTCTACATAGGTCACTGGAAAACTCCAACCCTAAAACCTGTAAGTGGCTTAGAGTAAAGCTTGCTGTGGCCTCAGGTTCAATACACCCAAAGTCCTAAATCACCCAGGATAGAACAAGCAGATGTGAAAATCTTCACCCACACTCACACCCCCTTGGGAGCACAGGATGGCATTGAGTAGCAGAGCCACTATCCAGTGGTGTATTTAGGTTTTTTTTGCCCCCCCCCCCCCCCACTTCCCTGCCCCAGTGGTACCGCCCCCCTGAAAAATGCCACCTCATGGTAAATACACCCCCTGTTCTCTCCACCAAGTATAGATCCCCCCTCCCTCAGTATAGACCCTCCTCCCACTAAGTACAGACCCTTCTCCATCATTATAGACCCCCTCTCAGTATAGACCCCCCTTTCATTTGTGCTAGTAGGGAGGTGGGGGGTCAGATATGTGCCAGGGGGTGCTTTGGGAGGGGAGAGGGCTTTGTGCTCTTGTGTGGGGTCGGATTTCAAATCCAAAACCAATTTCTAGCATAGATCCTCTCCCCTCCCAAGGTGCCCCCCAGCACATATCCTAGTAACCCCCCAATCACTAATTTTTTTATAACTTCTCCTACTTCTTGGTCACTCTGTCCCCCTCGTCTGCCAAGGAACAATATAAGAAACTTGGTACAGA